TAACATTTCTTTTTGCTGAAATTGGAAGATATTGGGTAACCATTATTAAACCACAGTAACTCAAATGGGATAACCTGCAGAATGCCATGACTCCCGTGGGAATTTGAGAAAGTTGTAATCACTTCAGTACTACTGTGCCCTTTGACTACACTTTCCATAAACTCATAGGTTGCAGAGTGCAAGGGAAAATGAGGGGCTATATCCCAACTCTCTTTCCTGTTTCCCTCTGGTTCCTGCAACCAATTGGAAGTGGGCAAGGAAAACAATGATTGACGGATTTGGAACCAAGGCATCTCTTAATGATAGTGGTAAGTGAAGAAAGGATGAGAGAGGAATACAGATACCTGCTGACAAGGAAGAGCTTTTTGGAGGACACCAATGGTTGACAGGTGAACCCTCTTTTTCCCAAGATGGAGGAGGCCCTTGGGGACACACTGGAATGGGAAGTTTGGCTGCCTCTGTTCCTTTTCCCCCAAGCAAAATGGTAGGCAGTTCCATGGGTCAAGCAAAGAGGAGGAGGAATTTTTTTATGGTCCCTGCCAACTTTCCTCAAGCAAAACCACTAGGGAAGCTGGCAGGAAGTCAAAAGTTTGGTCTGCTTCCTCTGCTGTGCCCAATCAGCTGGTGACAAAGCCCAATGAATAAGTGTTGATTGGCTGCTTTGGAACAAATGCTAAAATTTGAAATCTTTTAATAGTGGTTGGTAGCAAGGGAAGGATGAAGGAGTGACTCAGATACCTGCATGCAAAGTAGGATTGGCAGGGCTACATCCATGGTTTACAGGTAAGCCTCTGGGGACATGGCAGTTGGGTAATGGGGATGCAGTTTTCTTTATGTACTATGGGTCTCTTTATTCCTCCTCCCCCAGCAAAGTGGCAGGCAGATCTGTAGGTCAGCCAAGGAGAAGAAGGAGTGATTTCTAATGCTCTCTGCCAGCTTCTCACAAGCAACATCAGTGGGGAAGGTATCGGGAAGTTGAAAGTTGCTCCCATTCTGTTTTTTTGTTCATCCATGGTCATTTTATTTCTTTGTTTAAGTAAGAAAATGTCTCAGAAAGGATGCATCAGCCAGACACAATATAGTTTTTAACTTCCCAAACATCTTTAGAAGCAGACCTTGTAAAGCTTTCTAGAAATATGTGTAGACCTTTGAAAGGAGTTCCTGTTACATATTGTGCATTCATTCTCTGAATTGTGCTCAATATTTCGCTCATTTAGGGACAAGCCAAAAGGTCAAAAATATCAGTTACAGAGAGCAGTTCATTTCTATACCTAGTGTGAACCTTTTCCCATGGTTTGGTCTCATTCTGACTCTTTTCTATGTCTTAGTCACATTTTTAGAAATTAGATGGAAATTAGAAATTTCATTCAAAATAATAAAATAAATCTCTTGTTTCTACTTTTTTTAAAATTTCAGAATTACTGTAGAATTGGACAGCCAGCTTCCCCTTCCTTTTTGCTAATCCTAGAGAAAATCTTTTGGAGTTCTCTAAAGGCAGAACTTTCCCAACTGGCCATAAGTCAGGCTTATTTAATGTACTGGACCTACAATAGCACTCCAAAGAGCTTAAAAGTTCCTTTAAAAAAAATAGGGAGCCTAGTCTTTCTAGGTGCCTGACTCAGTATACTTTCATTCATTAATTCAGAGTATTTTCAATAAATTGGCTGTAGGAATGGATAACTAAGAGACATAGCTGGCTATTTGTCTCTATCAATTTACGTTTCTCTTTAGGAATCATTAGTATCCGCTAGATATGACTCATTGGGAAAATCTGCATAGGCCAACAGCATTTTGGGAAATGAAAAGAAGGTCAGAGCAACACAGAAGTGGGATTTATCAGTTTAAGATAGTAAATGAGTCTGAATCATTGAGAAAATGATTTTAAAGTTTTAAAATTTAAATATATTATCCCTCCCTCCTTCCAGCTGACTTTTTCCCCATTATTTAGCATGTATGATTTTTTTTTTTTAGTTTTGTCTTTCTGTGTGAGTCTGACTAGAGAGTACATTAAATAAAAATTATTTAGATCTATATCTATGGAGATTCTCAATCATCCAGGTCATGCTTCTCTCAAAAGTACTTTTTCAAACAGCAACTGGACTTTCTTCGTTTGAACATGTTTCACTTGTCAATCAAAAAGCTTCATCAGTTCTGACAGGATTGGGGGCGGGGGGGCGGGATGGAAGTATCACATTTTTTGCTGTCATCTAGTCATTAGCACTCTGTCTGAGAGACATTGAGGCCACTTGGGGGGTTATCTATGCCGTCAGGGTCACCTGAATCAGAGTGCAAGTGGGGGTGGAATATTCTTGTAACTGCTGAAAGGACTGAGTTATAGACAGGAGATAGGCACATAGACAAGAAGGCACCATCTAAACAGTGCTTCTGATTACTGTGCTCCAGTACAGGGCTGCCAAACATCTAGTCCGCGAGCCGGATGCATCACATATTGGCTATGTCCATGCCCGGTTTAGCGAAGGGGAAAAAGTCCTGATACATCACATGACACCGCTGTGATGACAGGAGTTTGACACCCCTGCTCCAGAAGATTCAGAGTACATAGATATGTGTTGGCATAACATTTACCTACAACATTTGACAAAAGATACCTGTTTTTCTAAGACTACGTGGCATAATATCTTTTCCATTCATTTTTCCTCCCATTGGATATACCATAAGCTTAAAGTGTCTGAAAAATACAGTTATCTTTTATTGAATCTGCAAATATATTCCTTAGGATAATTGGCAAAACAGTTGAGAACACTTATTTGGAAGTCCTTCTCTGGATTGAAATTATATATGGATGCATCCAGCTTCCAAAGAGTTTAACAAAATTGCAGGAAATAAAACATGACCTCATATTGCATGTGAATTTGGTTCTTAATGTATACTTTTTCATCTTTGCATGTTTGAAAGTTGGCATATAAGTGAAATTGGGACTAAAAATTAGTTCATTCTGTTTTAAGACGAACATGAAATAGCAAAATATAATTAGTGACATAGCCTTTTACATTTGCTGCAAAACACTGAGAGAAGAAGGAATGGCAAATTATGTCATTCCTCCTCCTCCACACATTATCATCGTTTTTATTGTGGCTGCTCTAAAACATCTTAGGGCTATTTCTTATAATACCTTTGGTAGTTGAATTCATTTCAGTCATCAGAATTGCTGCAGTAGTAAGCTTGGGGTGTTTATATCAAACTTATTGCCCACATAAGGAGGGAGGCTGACAACCCTTGCACTGTGTGTGCTGATATTTTTATAGATAACACCCTCAAGATATTAGTCTTAAATGCCATGGGAGAGAGGCGTTTGTTTTTTAGTTTTTCCTCCTTCTCCTAATTGTAGTTTTAAATAATGACACTTGCAGTGATCCAAACCACATTTGTAATTTTCATTCAATGCAACTTCATAGCTCTCTACTCAGAAATAGCCCACTGAGACCAATGGATCTTATTTTTTAGATAAACTGGTACAGCATATTATTGTAATCAGGGGTGAAATCCAGCAGGTTCTAACAGGTTATGGCGAACCGGTAGTGGAAATTTTGAGTAGTTCGGAGAAAATACCATCTCTGGCTGGCCCCAGTGGGGTGGGAATGGAGATTTTGCAATATTCTTCTCCCAGGAGTGGGGAGGGAATGGGGATTTTGCAATATCCTTCCCCTGTCAGGCCCACCAAGCACCCCCACAGAACCGGTAGGGAAAAATTTTGGATTTCACCCCTGATTATAATGCTGTTTGTGCAATGTGCTGTATTCAGATGGATGGATGGATGGATGGATGGATGGATGGATGGATGGATGGATAGATAGATAGATAGATAGATAGATAGATAGATAGATAGATAGATAGACAGACAGACAGACAGACAGACAGACAGACAGACAGACAGACAGACAGACAGACAGATGATAGATAGATATACTGTGAGAAGTAATGTGTATACTCACCCTGCATACCTATATGTTACAACCTATTTACAATTAGATCTGCAGCAAAGGCTGCATTGTATAAAGATCTCCATTCCAAAGCAGAGTTTACTAGCTCCATGATCTTTCATCAAGTAGGACAGCTAAAATGAATGCTTCTAATTTAATCTGTGAGTCAATTATATGATCCTTCTGCCACCATGTGGGTCATCCTGAACCCATGAAATGCAGATAAAGAATCCTGATTGCATAATTTATAGGGAGTTTTTTTCTTCTTTTTCTGAATTGATTATGGGGTTTTAATGTAGTGTGCTCCCTCTAAAACACATAGTCTTCAATTATGTGCTTCCTAAATGTGTTTCCTGTATGCTCAAAATGTGCTATTATTGTTAATTGTGTAAGACCCAACAGTCTTGCTTTTACAAGCATAATACCATTCTGTCAAACCAAGGACAAGTTTGAGAACAAAGCTTCTTAAACATGCCCAAACATATAAACATGCACCAAAGCACACAAAGCATGCCTTAGGATATTTTTGACATAGTGATATATGCTACTCATTTTAGGGCATCTCCCATTGATGGAAGTTGGGTGATCTAAATATATAATGAACACATAAATAAATACATAGGAGATTCTCAAATGAGTCCTCTTTTGGAATTACCAAAGGATTGGTTTGTTCCATTGGTTAGCTACTACAAGATATGCTTCATAAATGTATCCAATACTGTATTTACTCAAATGATATTCCCCAGTTTATGTATATGTGTCTATTTAGATGTATGTATATTCATACATCTAAACACACACACACTTTCTACAATTAGTATAAATCAGCAGCTTTGTTCAGTGAGAATTTTGGTGTGTTCCTTTTTTTTTTTAAAGAAAACTATTACCAAGTGTTACCAGGTATCACACCCATTTTTGAATTGAATGGAAAGAAGTTGAAAATAGAAGAAACCTAAATTGTTAGGCTTGTCCATATCCATTTGTAAAGGTGTGCCTGAAGAATTTGAAAAGAACGGGACATGGAAACACTGATGAAAATAATAGAGGAAAGTCACTTACTGTGGCCTGCTGCTTTTCTGCCTTCTCAGTTGCCTCATTAAGCTGTTTTTGAAAGGTCTCCTGGAGCGATTTCATTTCTTCCCTAGTTTATTGAAGGAACAAAACACAAACTTCATCTCTATTGTCCATTAAGAAATAATGCCTTTGTTTTCTCTTATTTCATGACAAGGCACTTTTAATTACACCAAACCACTAGTGTTTCTGCTTTCCTGAAGTAGCTTACTAATAAAGCTAAATAAAACAACCAGTGCACACCAGTAAAATTCCTAAAGCAAAATTCAGAAATAGGAAATTGCCTGTCTTTGTAGCTATTCTGTAGCCTGGTGTGCAATATATTGCCACTTGAATAATTCTGGCTGGTCAAAAGAAGTGCAATTGCTATAAGCAAAAAAAAAACTCTAAACAATGGTATGTTGAATCAGAATGAGATTATTGTAAGTGGAAACCATTCTGATTTTATTTTAAAACAAATGAGCAAAAATGCTTGTTAAATGTTAAGTGTAATTATTAGTATTCTTGTTTCCAAAGTAAGTCCCCTGGTTACAAAATTATGTTCAGAAACAATCACTAGAAAAAGATAGAGTCACACAATCTTGAATTCTTAGGGTAACAAAGGCAGATCTTAAGCTTCATTAGTGTCAGGAAATGATGTGGTTTTTCTATGAGTCAAATCATATGCTGATTGAGTTTCTATTGCAGAGATCAGATTGGTCATACTTGTTTCCAAAGACACATCCACCTATAAAGTTACTTCTGCTGACTGACAGCTGTCTGTAATTTGGCAGTTCGAATCTCACCAGGCTCAAGATTGACTCAGCCTTCCATCTCTCTGAGGTGGGTAAAATGAGGACCCAGATTGTTGGGAGCAATATACTGACTCTGTAAACTGCTTAGAGAGGGCTGTAAAGTACTATGAAGTGGTCTATAAGTCTAAGTGCTATTGCTATCATACATAACCAAGCTTCTGTTCCTATTAAATGCACTGGCTAAGACGCTGAGCTTGTCGATCGAAAAGTCGGCAGTTCAGCGGTTCGAATCCCTAGTGCCACATAACCGGCTGAACTCCCGTTACTTGTCCCAGCTTTTGCCAACCTAGCAGTTCAAAAGCACGTAAAAAATGTAAGTAGAAAAATAGGGACCACCTTTGGTGGGAAAGTAACAGCATTCCGTGCACCTTTGGCACTTAGTCATGCTGGCCACATGACCACGGAAACGTCTTTGGACAGCGTTGGCTCTTCAGCTTCGAAACAGAGATGAGCACTGCCCCTTAGAGTTGGGAACGACTAGCACATATGTGTGAGGGGAACCTTTACCTTATGTTTCCAATAGCTTACACAGCATTCATTTAGTGAATGTTTATTTCTTACTGAAATATCTGCACCAAAAGGATTCTAATGTACTGTAAGATGTAATAGTGTTATCATATTTGGACTTCCTCAAAGAATGTACAATGGTATTTATATTTGTATTCTAGTTTTCTTGGTAATACAAGGTGCCATATATAGCATGGGGGAATCCCTTTCATTTTATTTCAACAATCTTAGGAGAGGTGGATGAAAGCTGGTAAAGAATGTCCTATCCAAATTTACTTAATATACTCATAGCCAAGAGAGTTCTTCATTTTTCATTCACCCTGCTCGAAATCCAACATTTTATGCAAATGAACAGAAACCTATTCCTACTCACAGACCCATATATAATCATGCATACATATTCCCCTCCTAAATCTTCTTCACTGGCTATCCCTACAATAATAAATAGAGAGCTGGAGCTTAGAAGGCAATGAAAAAAGAAAACTGGATGCTAAGTTGGATGTCAAAGGAAAAAAAAAAAGTGGATTCCTGAGCAGGATTCCTTTCTGGAAACAGGAAGAAAAGAGCTAGAACCTGGACTGACAGTAAACCCTATTATCGGGTTGACAGAATGAAAATGGGTTGCCGATAACAAAAGTTGAAGTTTTGTAGAAGTTTCTCAAAACAAACAGAATTAGCTCAATAATACCCCTAAGAACTGGGTGTTTTCTCTAAGAAGTGTCACTAAAAAGCTAGTCTCTAGGAGAACTGTGCTAAGTTTCAGTTGAATGATGCTTTAAGCATAGCAGCCTCTCAAAGCTTCTTCACAAAGTGAATGAGATCCTCTCACTTCTGATATGTGACCATGATGATCCATTTCAGTTTGTTTTGGAGCCTTTCTCAATCTTCTCCTGAGGGATTTACATTAGCAAAGAAAGCAGAGAGGCCTTTTATCTAGTGCTGGCATAAATGTACTTAGATCTTCCAGTCTGGATGGCTTCAGCAAATGCTCCTGCAAACCCTGCAGGGCATGGTCCATGCTTCTTAAGGTACCATCTCACCCTAATGGGACTGGCCCACACCACCCATGCTGGCAGAGGGGGCATGCTGAGGATTCCATCAGCGAAGGAATTTCAGCTGGCAGGTTCCAAGGAGCCTTCTCTGACATGGCTTCTGTCCTCTGGAACATCTTACTCTCTGAAGTGAGATTGGCTCCCACCCTCCTGATGTTTTGAGAGCTACTTAAGACCTGGCTATGCCAGAGGGGTAGAAGGCCTAATGGGGGAGCTTCATACTGGAGGTGGTTGATTAATTAAAATCTAATCCCATCTCCCCACCTGCTATGTCTCTAACTCCCACCTTTTTCTGATTTTAATGGTTTGTAATTGTCAATGATTTTATCTACTGTGTGCATTATTGTTGATTTTAGTGTCTTTTTTGTTTTAGAGTCATTGGATATGACTCTAAATAAATTTTCTAAAGAAATAAAATAAACTCAGCCTGACCTATGCTTGGAAAAAAGCATAAAGTGGAAAAACAAAAGCCTATTTCTTAGAAACTCTTGGAGGCAGGGTAATCAGTGATGAAAATAGGTTAAACAAGAACACGCAAATGTGAAAATCTTCCACTGACTGATGATCCTCAGCTTATATACATCTGCAGTATTTTCTTGGGCAATGGTATTCATCGGGTTTACATCAGCCAATGGATGGCATTAGAACCCAGATGCAAAACTATCAAGAATCAGAGATTAGGTGAAGGTAGTCCCTCATTAATTACAATAATTGGGACCAGCAAGTCTCTCCTTAAGCAATACAGTCATAAAGTGAGAAGTCATGTGACCTCACTGACTTACGGCAGCAATTGCAGCAGTTCCAGTTGCGATTGTCAGGTAAATCCTGAGAGATTGCAGAATCTCACAGTCATGTGATCACCATTTGCACCCTCCTGCTGGCTTCCCCATTGATTTTCTCATCAGGAGCTGGCAGATCAGGTCACAAACTCTAATCATGTGACCATGGGCTGTTGTGATTGGTTTAATTGTGAGCCAGTTGCCAAGTGATAAATCATATGAACATGCCTCTGTAACTACACTGCAACAGCTGCAACTACAAGGTCTAGTTGAAAATCTTTATTGGGCATCACTGAAAGGTCAAATGGTCATTGAATAAGGCTACCTGTAGAGAGGGGTCCTCAACCCCCCAGGTTGTGGTCTGTGGCCTATTGGGAATTGGGCCATGCAAGCAGCAGAGGAGCACACAAAGCTCTTTTTGCCCAAACAGAGACCACACATGCACCTTCTCTCCTATCTCCATCATTGTTGTGAATCCATGGAGCCAGAAAGGTTAGGAACTGCTGCTGTAGAGATTTAATTTCCACCATGTCTTAATATTTTAATACAGAAATGCTGCAAAGGAATCAAAATTCTGATAAGAAGAGAACAGTGGTGGGTTTCTACCAGAGGTGGATTTCAGCAGGTTCTGACCAGTTCTGGAGAACCGGTAGCGGAAATTTTGAGTAGTTCAGAGAACCGGTAGTAAAAATTCTGACTGGCCCCAGCCCCATCTATTCTCTGCCTCCCAAGTCCCAGCTGATCAGGAGGAAATGGGGATTTTACAGTATCCTTCCCCTGAGGAAAGATGGGAATGGAGATTTTACAGTATCCTTCCCCTCCCATGCCCACCAAGCCATGCCCACCAAGCCATGCCACGCCCAAGCCACACCCACAGAACCGGTAGTAAAAAAATTTGAAACCCACCACTGGTTTCTACCGGTTCGCCCCGGTTCGGGTGAACTGCTAGTAGCAGTGGCGGGAGGCTCCGCCCACCCACCCAGATGTCATCACTGATGTTCTGCACATGTGCAGAAGTGCAGCAGGCAAGCAAAGCAAGTGCACGTGCGCTCCCGATTCTGAACCGGTAGCGAAGGTAAGTGGAACCGACTACTGGAACAGAACATTTTGAATGGAAGAGCTACATATTAAATATAAAAGCTATCATGTACACGGCCAATTAGGCTCAATTAAATAATTTCAGAGAGCTAGTTTTTTTCAGTAAATAAAGTGGCGAAGCTTTTTTAGTTGTTTCAGAAAATATATTACAGGGTAGACAAGATAATACATTAGGGCTCAGATCTCTATCTGATAGGTTCCTTCATGCTGATGGATTTATTGTTAGGTTGTTTAACTATCAAACAGGAACTGGAAATGCATGTGGATCGTTCTTTGCATGGATTACAGGGCAATTTTGTGCCTTACTGTTTTGAATTGCTAGCCACATTTTAAAATATGTATCCTTTCAAGCACTAGATGACCTACAAGGACTAGATGATCTACAAGATCCCTTCCAACTCTGTTAATCTATAGATCAGTGTTGTTGTTTTTTCAAGCAAAATCCAGGAATTCTTTAGGGAAGTGCTTATATTGGCATTATTTGGTATATGATTGTCATTGCATTTGTTTGGAGAATCAGAAGATAAACTGGGAGGAATAGCCAATACTTTAGAAGAGACACTCAAATTATAGTACTTTGTTGGAAGTCAGATAATTTCATAAATTTTAAATGGATTGAAAATCTTCCCTTATCAATCTTGACACTATTTGGAAAGTCTCTCTCTCTCTCTCTCTCTCTCTCTCTCTGTGTGTGTGTGTGTAGCATTTCTTTTGACTTGCCTCAGATGGAGGCAACTTCCTTGCTCTGGAGATTTCTTTTTTGTTTTGATATGTTTGATGCCTCAATAGTGACTGAAACTTGGTGTGCTCTTATTTTAAGATGAAATTGTAGAAGGACTCACATGTAATGGTCTCTGGGAATCAAATGGGGTCCCATATTTCATTTCTCACTCAAATGTGTCCTGACAACTCTGAAATGACACTTTTGCAAGTTTCAAAATGGCAAAATGGCAAACAGGATCTGTTTCTGAAGAATGTAATATCTCCAAAGCTTTGAAAGTAGATCTTGGAATTTATAATGTTTACCATTTTCCCCTTATCTAGTTAAATATGAGATGGTTTAATTTAGATGCTGTGCAAATTCAGATGATCTTGTAAAGGAGTGGGAGAACAAGATCCACTACTTAACAGAGAAATTCCATAAAGGTGGAAGTCTATATTGCACTACAAATTGCCTTCAGATACAGTTTCATTAGATGCTGTAATATAATGTAATAAATATTGTTTACAATTCTTCAAGGAGAATTTAAAACAGATAAATTTATTTCTCATACAAGGGTAAAGGCTTTTGTCCCTTTTCTCCTTTGCTGTTTCAATATTTATGTTATAAGCCTAAGCATAATCCTACTCCTAAATTGTATTTTTCTTGCATGCTTTGGGGCTATAAATATATCCAGGTAGTGACCCAAATTAGTTTTTGAAGTTGATACTACAATATTGCAATGGTAGTGTATGTAAATAGTTTGTAGCCAGCAGATTCCACTGTTGAAGTCCAGATACAGTATCTGGGCTGGAGAAGGTTGTACTGCACAACATTTTTTTCCCCAAAAAAGTTTTGCTTCCTAAAAAACTTTCGGTGATTATGATAGACCCCTTCAAACTTAACATAAATATACTTTTGGAATAACTATGATGTACAGTTGGAATCTTGAGAAATACAAAATTAACTTTTAATGAGAATAATGTATTCTATTGCATAATGTTTTCAACACAGAGCATTAATTCAACAGGACTAAAAGTGTTTTGCTGCTGATTTTCATGTGTAGTCAGTGTTTCAATGTTGTGTCTAACAGTGGTCAGTCAGCACTGATGGATTCCAGTTGCCCGGATACTATTTTTCCATTGGGGCAATATCCTATAAAACCTTTACCATATTCATCACTGATTGAATTTATAATTTTGAGGGGAAAGTTCACATGTGAATGTAGAAAAGAAATCTTCAGAAATGCAGACATTGTTGCATTTCTGAATGCATTTCTGCATACCATTTCATGGTATTCTATGTATGTTATAAGAAGTTTGTCAACCAGCTGAATATAGTTTGGTGCTCTATAGTGGCCAAGAAAATTCTCAATGACATCCTTGAATGCTTTCCAGATTATTTTCTTTGACCTCCCTAACAGATCATTGAATCACTTGTCATTGATAATGTATTTGATCCGTGGACCAATAAAAATGCCTTCCTTAATCTTGGCATCAGTTATTCTTGGAAACACCTATCTCAAATAACAAAAACCTTCACCTTCTTTTTCATCACTTTCACAACATTTTTCATCAGTCCAACTTTTATGTGAAGTAGAGACAAAACTCTCTCCAATGGGTCAACAAGTGGTTCAGATGCCTGTTTTTCTGTCTTGGAACCAAACTTGTTCAGAGTAGCCATTTCTTTATAATGTAATGTGACTCTCTAGCACTGCTGTCCTATCCACATATGTAACAGGAGTACCTGGTATATTCAAGCTGCATTCCAAGCAGCAGAGCCATTACTTTTAGATCTTCACAGATATTCTATTTGTATTTGGTCTACTGGATGTGCTTCAACAACAGTTCCATTATTCTCTATGTGTTTCTTTCATGTATGCAGAATAGCCAGCAGGTACTGAAAGGTGTATTTTGCCATGTATAAAAACGGATTAGCCAAAAATCTATAAGACACACCCCAAAGTATTCATAGAAGGTGTGAAGTGCAATGAGCCTGGTCTTACTAACTCTTTTCTGTATTAATTGCTTTGAGTCAATGTCTACATATGACTCTCACCATTAGAAATTAAAAAAAAACAACAACACTACTTCATTTTGGAGCTTATATGTTGAGTAGGTAAGCATGGTCTATGGATATTCCTGAATTGAAAGATATTTAGAAATTATAAACATGTAGTTGTGATATATTCATTTGGATTTCTTAATAAAAGAAACAGGGTCCTTACTGGGCTCCTCTAAATCCTATGTCTTATTATAAAATATGGACATTTGCTCTTGATTTCCTGCACATTGGTTCATTCTGACCTTTGGCATCTATCAGCTTTAAACGTTTGAGAAGAACCACTGTAGATTTTATCTGCCAGACAGTGTAAAATTTTCCATCACTGGGAAATTGCCATAAAATAAACCCGAAGATATGCACTCGAATAAAGTTTCTGATTAGCTTTAACAAATTCAGAGTTGAAGTGTCTTTTTGTGGTAGAACTTTGCATGCAAAATGAAAATATTTTTTTTCCCAAATGGAATAGAGTATATCATAGAAGTAACTTCCCATGCAGAAAATTGGTTCAACAAAAAGATTCTGATCTTGCTCTTTCTTGTTAACTTTACTACTTGCAAGAGGTTTTCCCCCCTTTTAACTTCAAAACATGAAACTAGTGTTTCAGATCAGATTGTTGATTTTTATGATCCATTTCTTATGTGAATGTCTTGGTTTGCTGACTGATTTAACAAGGAAAGAATTCATCATTGTTTTCTGTTTATATGAGAAAATATAATAGTTAGGGCAAATAAATGCTGAATCATACCTTTGTTTTTGGCCTAATTCCAAGAGTTTCTGTACATCGCTTTTCGCTGATGCCTCATCATTTTTCAAAGACTGACAACAAAAGAAAGAATCCAGGTGTTACCAAGAAGCTCTCTTAAAATTTTCACCTCTAAAATTATTCATTGTGACTTTTTGTATTAAAGGCTATATGTGAAAAGTACAGTAGATTTATGACAGAAAAGACAGTAAGAATGATACAACTTTGTTCTTCTGTTGCCAAGATTTAACAACACCCTCAAACAAGTTGGGTGGTTCATAAGGCAGAAGTTGATTTAACATGAACCAGAACATGAAATTCATCCAAATATCAGTATACACCAGTGGTGGGTTGCCCCCGGTTTGGATCGGTTCTATAGAACCGGTAGTAAAACTGGCGGGAGGCTCCGCCCATTGACCCAGATATCATAAGTGATCTGCGCATGCGCAAAAGAGGCGCAGGCATGATGCAAACCGGTAGTAAAGGTAAGTAGAACCCACCCCTGGTATACACAATATAATTGTAAACTACCCAGAGTAATTAACTGAGATGGGTAGCTCCAGAAATTGAATAAATAAATTAGGCAGAAGTTTAGTTGTTATCATCATGCTTGGGTGGAGCTAATCATGGTTTGCCAGCCTAATATTATGATACACTTTTTTTTCCCCAGACTAAAATTATGTTGTACTTTCTAAACACACTACCAGTTGGATTTAAGACAGAAAATAAGACCTTGGTTCTTCAACTCATATGCCTTTCTTTTTTCACAGAGCAGGCTATTAAGAATGAAAAATGAAATATTAAAAGTAAAAAATATTATCTTCGGCTTCCTGTCTTCTCCATTTCTTTGACTTTCATTCATCACTGAACCACAAATGTAGGAAGGGCCACATAAGTCTTCTCCAAGTGATCAATTCTTGGCTAGAAGTTTAATTGGTAAGAAGGACTGGGAATTGAGCATACCACGTTTAGGAGTTTTTTAAAAAATGCTGCTGGTGTTCAGAAAGGAACGATAATTAGAAAAGACAACAGAAGGATCAAAGTCCTTTTACCTTCTAAATCTTGAAACCTTCTACTATTATTATATTAATACTCACTTTAAAAGATTACATAATTCTATAGAGGGGTTAAAAAGGGGCTCTGATGTGAATGAATAGGCAAGCTCCCATTCAAAATTCTTTTCTCCTCTGTCTCTTGTGGAGAGGGGTCTGAAGGGGGGTAAGTAAGTCATGCTTGCTTGAATATGATCAAAAAACATTTCATAAGTCCATCCAAGAAGATAGAATTATAGATCATAAAGGCATTTCTACCGACACTTCAGAAGAACCCCACAGTGAAGAGGAAAGTCAGGAAAAACAATTGTATCTTTGTCCACATCCCATGTTCACATTTTACCCTCATGTGAGCCAAATAAATAATATCACAGAGCTAATATCAAATGAATTTTACAGTTATGGTAGAAGATGAAGAAAGGCATAAATTCTGACCTGAAGGTTTACTTTAATTCCCTCAAGCTCTTTGGATGTCTTCGACAGCTGGCGAAGTATGTTGCTTCTTTCCTTAAAGACTTCTTTAAGTTGTCTTTCCAGCTCTTCATAGCCCTGTCTAACACATTAAAAAACAGCAGTGAGATTGTCTCAAAATAACTAAGCAGCACAAATATAACTGGAATTACACCTTGGTTTGATTACTGCAGCACTCAGTTCTTTACTGACCAAAAAAAAAAATGATTATTTGTTATTTTTGTTTTTAGCCCATGATCTAATCATCAACAGCCAAATTCTCATGTATTTGGACAGCAGCCTTATTATCTGTTAGGCTTTTGTAATATACCATTTTCATCAAAAATCTGCTTATTCTAACCAGTATCTGTGAGGCACTATTTTAAATTCGACAAATGTTACCTTTTGGGGTGACTTTAATATTGAAAAGAAAGAAATGAAGAAAAATAAATATTGGGAAAAATATTCAGCTCAGCTGTTTTATGTACTCTTTGCCGTTCAATATTACTATTCTTTTGCTGTTTTATATACACATTTTCCGAGTCTATCCTTTTTTTTTTCTACAAAAGAAATCAATAGCAAAGATACATTCAAAGCCAGGAAAATTAACACAATTTAGTTCTGAGTTTGAAATCAATATCCAGGACAGAAAAATAGGGATGATGATGGATGATGATGACGATGATGATGATGGTGGTGATGATAATGATTTAATAGTTTGAGGGGAAAAGCCAGCACAAAGGGGGAATGAATTATTAAAATATCCTTTGTGCTGCAGAATTGAAAGCTATTTCCTCTGAACGTAATTGAATGATATTGCTGCAATTATAAGAAAGAAATAAGTGTCAAACAATGCACTCTTTTTGTGGATTCCAAAGCATCAGTGATAAAATATGAAGTAACCAGAGAGTAGAGGAAAACTTGCATGCTGATGTAATCTGGAAAGGCAATAAATTAGTCCTTCTGTCATCAAAGCTGAAGCAGACAATAAATTCTGAACTAGTGACAAGAAAAAAAAAAGAACTTATTACCTCCAATCTAAAGTTGCTTATTCATGAATTAATAAACTTAAGTAATGATGTGACTAGTGAATTTCAATCTTATCACACTCCTAGCCTTGAATGTATTTTTTTGCTATTAAATGGACACAAAGTTTACTTCACTTGTGAACTATAAGAAAACTATCTTTCAATCACTGTTCTTGCATTATTCCATGATTTTACAACTGCTAATTTGTTATACATATGTTATAATAAAACAGACAAGAAGTTCATCAACACATATAAGAGATTTTCTCTGTATGTGCAGCTTAATATTTTAAACTTGTATAAAGCACTATAGTAACCACAGGAATGTCTATGGAGATTCTCAGTATCAGTCATCCAGGTCATGGTTGTCCCAAAGATGCTTTTTCAAGAGGACTTTCTTGCTTTTCTTTGAAAACATTTCACTTCTCATCCAAGAAGCTTCTTCAGCTCTGATTGGATGGTGGAGAATGGAAGGATTAAAATTCTTTGCCTCTTGAAAAAGCACCTGTGGGATAGCAACAGGAATAAAATAACATTTGCTGCTAAATGCATTTCTTTAGCAATAAAAACAACTATGTTAATAAGTAACATGACATTCATCTGTGAAAAGGAGTTTGTACAAGTAATATAATCTGTGGCCATGTATATTCCTGGAAATATCCTTGTGCTGGAAGGAGAGGTGGAGCAAAATTTTGGAAGTAACATCGGATTTCTTGGACCTCAGACAATGCTGAATGCATTGAACCAGGTAATTAAATCAGATCTTATGTTCAGTGTCCTATCATCTGTCACTCTCCAGGTCTAGACTTTCTCTCAGACGTCAGCCTTTACTGCACCATAGAAATGCTCAGAGTTCATTCTGATTCTTTACTAAGTTTACTATTTAAAGAATTCTTGTTAGAATATGAATGACCTCAGAGTTCTGATCTGGTAACCAAAGACTTGGTAATTCAAGTGGAAGCTGTATATATATTGGGGCAGTATAAATCAATTGTGGTTCAATTCCAATTTGAGTTTCAAAGAGGCATGAGTCAGTTTGAATTTATGATTTGAAAATCAAGAGTCAATTGATCTGATCTGAATCACTACAAGATTTGAGTTGAAAAAGATTTATCCATATGCAGCTGTTTCATTTTTTTGCAGAATAGGATGAAAATAGCAGGGAGAATAAACTTTAAGAGGAGTTCATTGTCATGGTTGATGCCAAGTTTCCACTGAATATTTTCAAAGGGTTTTGTTCAATAATTTTTTAGTATAGTCATTCTGCAAAGAGATAGTAAAAATGTTCTTTTTCTGTTTGCCTTCCTGGGATTTGGGAAATAATGAAAAATAAAATTGATATGTTCTTGTAGGGTGGTGTAGTTTGCTATTTCTGATCACTGCCCTTTCTGCCATGTCAAGCAGGATTGGTATAATTGGTTGGGAAGTTTGGTCTCTTATGAGATGAGTCCTTATCACCATTTTAGCAGGGTGTCAACCTTAACAAATCGCATTGGTAAAGCTTGACTTCTGAAACAAGGAATTGGAAGAACAATTGTTGACTTGCCCTTCGGGGGCATTATAGCTTTGCTGTCTCTGTTCATCGGGGTTCCATAGATGCCAAGAAACCTGCCATAGCTGATTGGTAAGCTTGGCCTCTCCTGTAGAGGGATTTCCTTTCCAGGATTCAGTTGTGTCAGGTTTTGGACAGACAATAATATTCTGTGTTTGTTAATTAACCCAAGAAGCAGAATCAGTTTTACAGAGAAAGATACTATGTCATATTGTAGATAAAGAAGCTACCAGAGAAGAATTGGCATCTGTAGCCTTTCCTTCCTCTATTTTTACTGTAAGCATTTAAACCAGTGCTTGTGATTGTTAGCATAGCACTCATCCACTCATTGTTAAGTCTGCCCCAGTTATGAAGAATTGAGTAGAGTTTGACCCAAGAGCTTATCTGGGCAACATTCAAAGTGCTGAGAACTAAGTTAAACCATGTTATTAATTGTATTAGTAGATCAATATGGAAGCAGCAGTGTCTATGGTGTACGTATCAAAATGGTCAAGGTAGCAAAAAAGCCCATCCTGCCTGTTTTCTCTCTCACATTCACACATACACATATGCATTCTCTCTCACATTCACACATACACATATGCATTCACACATACACATATTATCTTCAAGATCACCTGCTGCTACCGACGGCCTCCCATCCACCTGTGCGCTCCCACAGAGAGGGCCTCCTCGGGGTGCCATCAGCCAAACAATGTAGGCTGGTGACCCCCAGGGGGAGGGCCTTCTCTGTGGGGGCACCTACCCTCTGGAATCAGCTGCCCCCAGAGATAAGGAGAATCCAAGACCTCGGTGCCTTCCGCCGTGCCCTTCTTTTTCCAGCAAGCCGGTCTGGCCTAACACTTTTTAAAATGTTTTTAATTGTCTGTTATTGTTTTTAATCATGGGGCCAAATTTATATATATCTTTTTAATTGTATTTTAATGTTTGTAGTTTATGTTTTTACTTGGCTGTTCACCGCCCTGAGTCCTCAGGGAGAAGGGCGGTATACAAATTTATAAATAAATAAATAAATAAATAAATAAATAAATAAATAAATAAATAAATAAATATGCACACTAGACATGCTGCATCAAGTATAACATTCCATTAGCACAAGAGCTAATAAATCTTAAGGCTTAATGTGGCCTACATTAAGGAAATTGAGGGCCGAGAGAGTGATTGAAGTTCAAAGCAGTCCTAGCACTAATATTAGCCCCACCCCCACTCCCATTCCAAACCTCTGGAGGCAAAGCATTTCATATGATGATAAAATTGACCAGATACTTATCAATAATAAAGACCATCACATCATTCAAAATCTTCCTTGTGCACTCTCAATATATGGAGGTAGCATTATAATACTGTGTATTGTCTTTAGCAAGCTTAACAGCAACAGAAAAACCACCAGATCTATGATCCATTTCAAATTTCTACAAAGATTTTCAGAGACCTCTGACTCAACTTAAGTGTTCCTACTCTTATTCAAACATTTGCTTTGGAATGATTCTTCCAGAGTTTTGTCGATGCAAAATGTCTCTTTTGTAGCTGTTCACAAACCTTATTTCATTTCATTTCATTTATATCCCCAGATAAATGTAGCTAAAATAATACTGTATCCTTCAACTAGCATAAAAGCAACAAGCAAACTACCAGCTTTTTTTTTTTAATGGTATCCATTGGTAAACATTAAACAGCCACCAGAAAGGGATATGATTTTTTTCTACAGCAAAACTTCACAGCTGGCTGTTTCCATCACAACACTAGTTCTTGTTTATGCCTCAGAGAGCATCAGTAATAAACCATTAAAATCCTTGATACTGTGAGACTCCATGCCATTTTCCTAGTATGTAACCCGTAAAAAATGCTTATAAATGATTGTCTGAGTTTCAGTAAACACAAGAAGATCTTTCTGAACTTTTTTTTTTGCACTTCTTCTTACATGTTCCTTGGTATAAGTACCTATACAGGTCTACTGTAAAAAACCTTTGCTAGCATCTATTAGTCATTTTAGTGGTTTTTTTATTCAACTGATTTCAATAGTTTCCTGTTTCTATGATACATCTTTTCCTCATACTATCCATGGAACTTGGGATTGTGTGAAAGCTTATCAGAGGTTCTTCAGGGCGATCAGATCAGCTTTCATGAATTACTTGTCCACATTATTGATCTTAGTATGCCATGTTCAATTGCACTAGAAATAGAAAAGTCCTATTTGTATTAAGCAGTACATGCCTACAGATACAATGTATCGTAATAAATGATAGGTGGGCTACAGCAGGAGAAAGCCAGACACAAAGGCCAATATCATCCTTTTTGTCTTCCAAACAACAGATTAGGAAAAAGGTAGAGATCTTCACTAGACAGAGATTTCTTTACTAGCATTTTGCAAGGAACATTTGCAAAAGAAGTTTTGAAATCAAGTCAAGAATTGTTGAAATTAATCTGAGAGCTTCAAGTTACTCACTCTTAGATATGGGGCCATTTGCAAGAAGGGGTAGTTGTACAAAAAAAACAAAAAACCCTTCAAAATTGTGGACACAC